AGACACAGATGGAAAATTCAATCTGCTTCTGATAATGAAACAAGTGTAGAAAAAGGACATTAATTACCCAGAACGCCTTCTAATAGGATTATGTCATTTTTTTGTGACACCATGTCTCAGCTGGGCACTGAGCTGCAGTCACTGGCAGTGAGCACACTGCAAGCATTGCTCCATACATGCCCGTGTCATAATAAAAGAAACCATTGTGTAATTTGATGTTTTGGTGGCATTAGTCAATCCCCTGTGCATCGCTCCGGGCTGTGTTTTTCAATGAAAAAAGTAGTATGCTCCATCTATCCTTCTAATCATCAGTGATGGAAATATTTCAAAGTGATTTGATCCATTGTGACTGGTACCCAGGGGAGAACAGTTATGTTTTAACAACCCATTTATTTCAGGGCCACCTGACACTCTATACCAATTACGTGACCAGACTAAGGGAACTTGGTGGATGGTTGGGGCAAAAATGTAAAGTTGAATACTAGGCAAATATAAAATACTTACATTAATGCAGCTCTATATTTATCAATACATTATTACATTTTATATTTTTAAATGCAACCAGTGCAAGTACTTGAATATGACATTATTGACAGAATCAGCCTCTTGCTGTCCCTGTACAGTAGTGATGGGCCGAAGAGTAGTATAGTTCGAATTCAAACTTTAGAAAAGTTTGAACTCGAACTCAATGCAAGTCAATGGTGGTAGAACTTTCAAAAACAATTGCCCCCTTTAAGAGGGCTTATATGCAAGTTATTGGCCATAAAAAGTGTATGTGGATCCGGGTACTGTCCTGGGGGATAGGAATCAATGAAAAAAACATGTTTAAAAAATACTGTTTTTAAAGGAGTAGAGGTTTTAACATCACTTAAACTGTAACAATAAAAATGAAAAATTCAATTAAATATCATGCCTGAGGGTCCCCTTAGCCTGCTTGTAAAGTGGCAAATCTGTTCGATGTATAGAACCTGCTGCAGCAAAACTGATATTTGTAAAGAAAAAAAAAATATTTTTTTAATTATTATTCTTAAAGTGAGCAGTTCCCCCTCCCAAACAATACCAGACCCTTTAGGAATGGTAGGAATGTTAGGAGGGATCAACCAACACTTTTTTAAAAAGCGTGGGGTTCCCCCACTAAAAGTCATACCAGACCCTTAAGGTTTGGTAGGAATATTTAGGAGGGACCCCGTGTAAAAAAAACAAAAAAAAGTGTGTGGGGTTCCCTCTCAAAGTCATACCAGACCTTTAAGGTCTGGTAGAATTATAGAGGAGGGATCCCATGTAAAAAAAAAACCCCAAAAAATAAGTGTTTGGGGTTCCCCCTTAAAGTCATACCAGGCCCTTAAGGTCTAGTAGGAATTTTAGGGAGGAAGCCCACCCCCAAAAATGGGGTCGGAAACCGTTGGGTCCCCCTAAAATTCCATAGGCCTGGCACGGCCGGAAAGGGGGGGAGCTCGCTAAAGGGTAAGGGGTACTTGTAAAGGGTACTTGTATCCCTAACCATTCACTAAAGGGTTAAATAAAAATGTAAATAAAAAGTCCAGACTTTTGAAAAAATCCTTTATTTGTAAAAAAAAAAGACAAAAGACATGTTCTTGACAAGTCTTTTATTTTAAAAAAAACGACCCAAAATTGATCCACCGACAATCACGACGTCCAGCGTTGTCCGCGACAATGACGACTCGACAAAATAAAAAATAAAACAATAAAAAATAAATAGAAATAGTTACATACATAGTTACATAGTATTTGAGGTTGAATTGACTTCCCGCTTTCATCCTTTATTGGGCCTATCTGCTCCTTTCTCACCTTTTTACTGTTAATATATTGGTAGAATTTGACAGATGGCGGTAACATATAAACATTTAGGCGGAGCTAGCAGTGACAGCTAGCTCCGCCCAACTGTTTACAGTTGTAACAGGGTGAGCCATGATTGGGCAGAGTCATCATGACTTTGCTCAATCATGGCTCTCACTGTTCTCTGTGCCCTGATTGGGAGAA